TCAACACTCAACACCTACCTTATTCTCCTCTACCTAGTCTCTTTCCAGCCCTGAGGTTCCAGAACACCTGGGAAACCTACCTCCACAGGGATAGACCTCTTTCCCCTTTAATTCTTTGCTGATTCTCTTCCTGGGACAAAATGGTGCTTTGGTCCCCAACATGCAAAGGCTTCCCTGTGGGAGGCTGTAAACCCTACTGTGCAATGTACCTTCTGACTTCAGAGGCAGGGCTGTGCTGCTGGGCCAGGTGTGCTGGGCATGGTGACCAGTGGATGGATGCTAGGCCAAGGGCTTCCATGATTTCCTGATCCTGGCTGAGAACACAGTGCATTAGGCCCCTTGCCCTATACATCCCATTTTTACTTTCTGTAAAATATATACAAAGGGCTCCAGGGCCAATGACCTTTCCTTTTCCTTTCCCTAGACAGATCTGAAGGAGCAGGGACAGCTCCTACACCGGGACCCCTTCACCGTCATCTGTGGCCGAAAGAAGTGCCTTCGCCATGTCTTTCTTTTTGAGCATCTCCTCCTGTTCAGCAAGCTCAAGGGCTCTGAGGGGGGGTCTGAGACTTTTGTTTACAAGCAGTCCTTTAAGGTACAATGCCTGGAGTGAGAAGGGGGGCCGGGACAGGAAGTTGTGCTCTTCTTGAGAACACAGGATGTTCTAGAAATTCAACCCCAACCCAGGTTCAGAGTCTGCATCATCTAGAGCAGGATTTGGCCTATATTCAAGCATCAGGCTAGGGTGTTGGGGTGATAGAAGTCCCTGTCATTGGTCTACCCCATGGAGTTTTCCTTGTCATTCATGCAGGAGACTCATGTGGCATTCCAAGCCAGAATGGAGGAGGACCTTTCCCATTAAGAACGCACATGCCTTTTGAGTTAGGAGTGGTTCCTGGGGGGTGAGGAGAAAGAACATTATATATATATAGCTTAACGTGATGGAACTGAAGAACCCAAGAGGACTGGTATCCAGATAAACATCAATAGCAACCTATAGTCCTAGATCAGGCAGTGTGGCATGATTCTAAGGGTTTCTAGACTTTGTCCCCCTATACTAGTTCCAGGTCTTCAGGGGGGAGTACTGTATAAAGAAAAAAGCCTAGGTTTGGAATAACAGACATGGGTTTGAACGCTCTTTCTCTAATAATCTGTGATAAACCCTTGGGCAAGCTGCTTCATGTCTCTGTAAATTATGGTTGTTAGGAAGACTAAATGTAGAGCAGTTGGCACATGGTAGGTGTTGAGCAAACATTTACTGAACATCTACCAGATGCCAGGCTAAGTGTAAGTGCTTTTCCATGTGGTACCATCTAGCCAGGACTCACTCGGTCTTTACCCACTCTCCTCTGCTCTTTCTCAGACTGCTGACATGGGGCTGACAGAAAACATTGGAGACAGTGGGCTCTGCTTCGAGTTGTGGTTTCGGCGGCGGCGTGCACGAGAGGCATACACTCTGCAGGCAGCCTCACCAGAGATTAAACTCAAGTGGACAAGTTCTATTGCCCAGTTGCTGTGGAGACAGGCAGCCCACAACAAGGGTACCGGGCAGAGCCGGGGAAGGGTGTGCTTGCAGTCAAGGTTATGACAGAATGATAGCTGGGGAGTGTGGAGACGCTTGGGAAAGCAAGGTGTAGGGTGGAGAAAGAAGGACTTACAAGAAGATTCAAGATCTGACCTGAGAGAGATTGCTGAGGTAGAAATTAGTCAAAGGGGTACCAGCAGGAAACAGGAAGCTGGCAAATTTCAAGGAAGCAAGAGCAAATGGCTGGGCAAGAGAGAGTGTGAGAGAGAGAGAAAGAGAGAGAGAGAGAGCTCACTGGACCTGGGTTCTGGAACTCACTTGCTGTATGAGCTGGACCAGTTTGTTTTCTTTTTAATCCTCTGAACCTCATTCCACACATCTGAAAAAGGGAGGTAATATCTACATCTTAGTGTGATAAGGAGGATTGAATAGAGTGATATGTGTGAAAACACTTACTATAAAGGTATGTAAAAACCTGAGTTTGCTGTTAGTGCCCGAGATAAAGGGAAGAAAGTGAGTATTAGAAGAGAAGCTGAGCGGCTGGGATGCCAAATGGGCAGGATGCAACATACAGGAGAGAAGAGACAGATGTCTGGGGAGGAAGTCAAAGACCACCATCACCATCCATGTCATGACAGTCAACACGAAGAGACACCAGAGGAAAGAGAGTTGGGGAGAAGCAGAAAGAAGAGTCTCCCGTGATGGTGCTAGGGCTGGAGCAGAGGAGGGGCAAAATGAGGTTGGTAACATAGTCTCTGTTCCCTAGAGCTCCGAGTACAGCAGATGGTATCCATGGGCATTGGGAATAAACCCTTCCTGGACATCAAAGCCCTTGGGGAGCGGACGCTGAGTGCCCTGCTCACTGGAAGAGGTGAGAGCCAGACTGCTGGGGGGTGGCCCCCAGAATTCAAGATCATGAGAGTGAGGGTACCGTAGGGAGGTGTGGTGAAAAGTGAGGAAGGGTAATGAGTGGATATGTCGTCCCAGAAACTGTGGGACTGACTGGGAGACCCTCTATGAGACTGAGGGTCATTTCAGGGAGCCAGGAGGGCTTTTCCACACCAGCACCCCACCCCCCCACTCCCCACTCTCTGCAGCCGCCCGCACCCGGGCCTCCGTGGCCGTGTCATCTTTTGAGCATGCCGGCCCCTCCCTTCCCGGCCTCTCGCCGGGAGCCTGCTCCCTGCCTGCCCGCGTCGAGGAGGAGGCCTGGGATCTGGACGTCAAGCAAATTTCCCTGGGTGAGGCACCTCTCAAGGGGTGGCTCCCAAAGCTGGGTCATGGTGGTGATGTTTAGGCTGCTTGCTGCTGAGCAATTTCTTTTCTAGCCAAGTAGCCCAGTTGCCATGACAACTATGTACAGCTTTCCCATTGCTAAAAGAGCCTTCCATCTGGTTGCTAGGATAATGCTTACAGCAGCCTGTTGCTAAGAAGCACTTCCTCTGTACCTCTCTCTCTAGCTCTCCTTGGGTTTCTATGGAAACTGCCTCAGCTTCCTGTTGTACCCTCCTGGTTCACCACGGCAATCCTTAGTTTCCTGTCGCTTCTTCCCTGGTTGCTCTAATGATGCTGCTGACAATTTCCTGCCTCTTGGTAGGGGGGTTCTCTTGCAACTGGATTGCTATGGTGACTCACAGCTTCCTGTTGCTATGGAGCTTTTTCTTCCCTGATGGAGCAGCTTGGTTGCTTAAGGTAATCTAGAGGGGTTCCATACCCTGCTCTCACCCTAGCTTCCCCTCTAGCCCCAGAAACACTTGACTCTTCTGGAGATGTGTCCCCAGGACCAAGAAACAGCCCCAGCCTGCAAACCCCCCACCCTGGGAGCAGCACTCCCACTCTGGCCAGTGGAGGGATCTTAGGGCTATCCCGGCAGGTAAGTCCCTGTACTAGGGCTGGGAAGGGGTGATTTCATCATCCACTTTCTCGGTGGGCTCTTCTGACCATTCAGCCCATGGGGGGCAGGGGGAACCAGTGAGCTCTCAGCAAGGCTACAAGTTGGCTATATTATCCAGTCTGCCTTTCTCCTCTCCCTCAGGCCTGGCTGAGAGGCGTCAAGGTCAGAAGTGAAAAGGAATCTTTAACAAGGAGCATAGTGCAGGAGTGGATGGAAGGGGGAGAATACCAACGGCCTGGTTTGGATTTGGATTAAATCAGCAAAATTCAGGAACTTTAGGAGGAAAGAGAGGTGAAGTGACAAGCTTGGAAGAGAGAGGAAATATAGGGAAGAGGTCATTTCTTATCCTGTAAATTCACAGCAGTTTCTCTCCCCTCAGAGTCATGCCCGAGCCCTGAGTGACCCCACCACGCCTCTGTGACCTGGGTGAGTCAGTACCCACTTTCCGCCACATCCAACACTCCTTCCCTCTTGCATGTACCGTCCTTCCTTCTCCCAGCTGAAGTTTCTTCCCTCTCCCAACCCACCTCCCTCTTCTTTCCTGGCTTCTAGAGAAGATCCAGAACTTGGCTACAGCTGCTCCTCTTAGTGCAGTTTGGGCTGGGATGGCAGTGGGACATAGTGGAGGACTGGAAGAGCATTGAATTCCTTCCCTCTGCTTCCTGGACAGAGGAGGTCAAAGGACCAGCACGGTTCCCTGCTACCGCTATCTCTAGCTCTCCCCAGCTAGGCGCCTTCCTGCCAGAACCAGAGTGGCCACACGTGCTTGCCTTCATCCCTGGGAGGTGGGGAAATTATCCCTCATTCAGTCCTTCCCCATCCTGGGCCACTACCTACTCGCAGGACCCTGCCCTGTGTCAGACTGTGTTCTCCACCTATTCCCGGCCCCAACTCTCCCTGAGAAGACTCATCTCTGCCAGGTCAACTGTAGTTCCTGGTGACTCCATTCTGGGCTGTCACAGCAAACAGAGCTATGCAAACCATTAAAGGACGGTGGGTGGGGAAGTGCAGACTTTATATATGTAATTACTGTTATTCTAATACTATTGTTATATTAAATGTATTTACTCACATTCTGTCTCTGAAGAGCAAGAGCAGCCCTCTGGGTTGAGATGATACTAACTCAAGCACTTCCCCTCACCCAACCCTTAACTAGACACAGAAAATAAGACCGAGGCTACAGGGAACTCTGCACCCCTTACCTGCCCAAAGCTGGGCCTGGGCCTAGGAAATTGTGCCTCTTCCACAGAGGCTCCTGGAGGCTCCATGCACCCTTTGAAGTGCCTCCCCTCATGCTGCACCCACTTCTGGAGGCTGAGCTGGTCATAGTCGAGCTGGGATCCAGCGAGCACACTCCAGCAGTTCAGACCACAGAGCTTGAGAATCCCCTAGGCTACTTGCTAAATGCTCATTCCTGGGCCCCACCCCAGAGCTACTGAAGCCGAAGCCTGGGGGTAAAGGCCAAGATTCCGCATTTCTTACCAAGCTCTTTGGAAATTACTAAGTGCCTGAAAAGGTGACTATTTCCTGGACAGAATGGCCCAAGGAAGAGGACAGGACATAGGCAGACAGACACAGTGCCCTGTGCCTCAAGACACCTGTTTATTGGGGACACAACTCTGCGACAGGGATGACAGGAATCGTACCAAAAATAGCGACGTCTACAGGGCCCCTGAAGGGGCTAGAAGGGTACAGTGCCCCCCACCCCCACCCATTGTACAAAAATAAACTCTCACGCCTATGGACCAGCAAAGACTGGCAGAGCGGCTCCTCAACAGGGACACAACTGTTCTCTGCCAGCCCTGGGACCCCGTTCTTTGATGCTCACCCCTGCCACTTCTAAGGCACTGTGACTCTCCCCTGGGCTGGGTGGGTACCGCCCGCCCACCCTCCTACACCCTCTGCCCCCTCCACCTCTGGTCCGCCTGGGGCTGGGATGTGGGTCCCATGCTGCCCCCTGCTGGCTGCTCTACCCAACTACCTCTAGCGCTCCCCCGCTCCGGCGGGGTAAGCTCACTAAACTAACCGCCCCTAAGAGAGCTCCCTACCGTTCTTGCCCCCCCAACCCCGCCTCGCCCGATCTCGACAGCCCGGGGGACTCCTCCCCTTCCTGCGAAGGACTGGGAGGGGTCTCTCCCGATGGTCCTCGGGCATAGGGCGGGGATGCGTTGGCCTGGGGCGGCCGGCGGCCCCGAGCCCGGCGGCTGTGGTGCACTTGCAGGTGCAAGGCCATGAGCTCGGGGGCTCCAGTGGCGAAGGGGCAGAAGAGGCATCGGTGGAGGGCACCCCCCGGCCCGGCCTCGCCTCCTGGGCCTGCCCGCAGGGACAGGTCCAGGGGTTCGGCCTCACCGCCTCGCCCGTTGCGCAGGGTCCTCCCGGGGCTGGCGGGCTTCCTACGGGACCCCGGCGCGGCACCGCTCGAAGGAGGCCGGGGGCTCGCCGCGCCCTCCACCCAGGTCGCAGGCTGCGGAGCCGGCTTGGCTCCTGGCTGCTGGGCCGAACCCCGCTGGGAAGGGGGCGGCGGCTCTGGGGGCGGCCCAGGGCCAGCCCCGCTCCTCTGCTCCCGGTGGTGGCGCTGCAGGTGATATTTGAGCGAGCCGGATTGGGTGCCCGCGTAGTCGCAGTGCGGACACTTGTAGGGGCGCTCGCCTGGAGAGAGGGGTTGCGATAGGGTCACAGAGTCACGATCACTGCCCGCCCCACCCGCGTTTCACTCCACGTACAGACCTCCTCAGAGCAGGAAGAAACACTGCCCCTCCCAACCCGTCTGATTTAATAAAGCAGCGTTTCCCAACAATCTCATCTGGCCAATCTGAAGGCTGCCAAACGTCATCTCTACGGCGTTTCCCTTAGCCCTCTCACCTCTCTTCCTGCCCTCCAGTACCCTTCCCACCCCAGAGGCTGCCCCCCTCACCTGTGTGCACTCGTAGGTGCACTTTGAGGTGATGCGCTGAACGGAAAGATTTTCCGCAGAAGGGGCAATCCTTGCCGGTGGCCCCCCGGTTCCCTTCAGGCCGGGTCCCTCCAACTAACAGCCCATTCTCTTCTGCAATACACACGTTAAGGAAAGTCAGAGGGACCATTTGCCCTAAACCTATCAGGGCCATACGCCCCCACACCCCATAGGATTGCTTCCCCTCTGGGCCCAGGAGAATACAGTACGTCTGGGGGAACCGGAGGGGTTGGATTTGTGCCCTCAGAAAGTGGTAAAGCCTGTGGGGGTAGGGGGAAGCGAGAAATAAGACAGACCCTTTTTAAAAGGAGATAAGAGCGGAGTGGTGAAGTCAGAGTGGGCCCTGGATGCAGAAAACCTGGGAGAGAGGAACGTCCTTACGTACCCTGCGTCGCGGTGGACCTTGCCTGGGCCCCCGCGGCAGGCGCAGAGTGCGGCCCCTCGCCTGGGCGCGGGTGCAGTGAAGCCAGAGGGCCCAGTGCCCTGCTCCGAGCCCAGGACTCCTCCTCCGCCTCCACCACCTCCTCTTCCTCATCTGGCTCCTCGGCACGGTGCCGGCGAGCCCGGGCCGGGAGAGCAGAGGGCAGTGGGCGGAAGCCTCCGAAGCTGCGGCCAGCCCCAGGCTCAGCGCCCTCACCATTGGGCCGGGCCTCACCAGCTCGAAGGCTCAGGTAGCCCAGGAGGCTTGGGGGCTCACGGCGCTCAGCCGGGGTGGGCGCCGGGGCCAGGAGGAGTGCGGGGCCCAGTGGCTCATAGGCCAGCAGGCCCAGGTCAGGAGGCTGAGGGGCCCGGGCAGGCCCGGAACCAGGCCCCGGGGCACGCAGTGGGCCCAGCTTGCTGGCATGCACCTTCATGTGGTTCTTAAGGAACCAGGGCTCCTTGAAGCAGCGGCCACACACAGGACACGCATGATCGAAGGAGGCCTTGTGCTTGCGCATGTGGCCCTTGAGAAACCAGGACTGTGTAAAGCTCTGGCCACACACTTGACACCGGAACTCCGGAGGCGCAGGGGGCTCCTCGGGAGCGGCAGGAGCGGGGGCAGGGGTTGCCTCACGTTCAGGCTCCGCCTCCGGCTCGGGCACCGATCTGGGTTCAGGCTGGGGTGGAGGCTGAGACTGGGGTGCCGCCGAAGTGGCCGCCAGGGGGCGCTCAGGAGCTCCGTGGGCCGTCAGGCTGTGGTGCAGCAGCTCCTCCTCCTGGCTGGAGCCGAAACTGCACAGGCCGCATTTCCAGGGCCTGTGCAGGATGTGCAGGTGGCGTTCGCGTTCCGCCGCGGTGCGAAACTTGCCTTTGCAGAAGGGGCAACGGAAGGCGGACGACGAAGGAGCCTGGGGCCGCGCCAGGCTCTCAGTGGCAGAGGTGGCATGCACGCCCCCTGAGCTTCGGGCTCTCCCGAGTCGGGCCTCGCGCAGTAGCGCGCGCTCCTCCAACTCCAGCAACAGGCGCGCGGCGGGGCTACGCGGGCGCTCGGGCTGATGCGTGCGCAGGTGCGAGCGCAGCAGGGCCCGCTGGGCTGCGCGGTGGCCGCAGTGCGGGCACTGGAAGGCCTGGGCGCCCGGGTGCGCCCGCAGGTGCAAAGCCAGGATGGAGTTGAAGCGGAAACGCTTCCCGCATACAGGGCAGGGAAAGCGCCGTTCGCCTGTGCGACTCTCAGACCAGCCCACTGCTCCCATGCCTGGAGACCCGGCGCTCACGCCTGGCCCGTTGGAGTAGCGCTGCAGATCCAGTTCGCCGTCGAAGGCCGGCGGCGACGGCGCTAAGTGGCCGCCCGGAGCACGGGGACGTGAGCCCTGTGGAGAAACACGTGAGGAGAGCAAAGGATGGAGAAGGGAGAGCTGTGGTGGAAGCAAGGGCAGAGGGCCGGAAGAACCCCAGGGAGGGTGAGTTGGGGCCTGAACCAAGAACACTGGATGCCCATCCCACTCACCTCGGGGAAGTTGGGGGATGAATGGGAATTGAGCTGTTGGGACCACAGAGATAACTTCTAATAACGGGGGTCAGAGAGAGAGAGGTGAGGGGAGGGAGTACAGTTGTAGATACTTGCAGGTTCAGGCCAGAGCTTCACTCACCTCCATGGACCCCCTTCACATTCTTTGGTTCTGGGGAGTGCAGGGAAGAGGAAGAGGAAAAGCTGCTAGTGAAGGCAACAGGTGCTGCAGAGCTAAAGCAAGAGAGACAGATTTGGAGGAAAACATGAGCCCTAATTTTCAGCAGTGGAAAGAGTCACCCCCAACCCCAGACTCTTAGCACCTTGTATTCCTGAAACCTATCCCTTCTCCTTCCTTGCATCCTGAGACAGGAAGGGGCTACTGTCTTCAAAACGTGTACTCCTTGATTTGCCAAGCCCACAAGGCTCCCTGATAATCCAGAGTTCTTCCCCCAAATTATTCGTTTGAAATGCCTGGTCCAGAACAACCACCACGGCCCCCACCCCCACCAACTCCCCCACCCCTCGGGGTGGGGGAGACCATCATAGTATACCCCTCTCTCATTTAGGTTGCGATGTATAGTTTGATGAGCAAATGGGGTGGGCTTGCCATGCTCCCCAGTTGTCCAAGTGAGACCAGTTGCTCTCAGACCCCTAACTGATCAGCCAGCCAAACATCATTCCAGGCTCCACTGTCCTTCCTTCTGCCCTTACCCTGTCTTTCTGTCTTTCCCCCTCATTCTCCCTCCCTCTGCCTGGATTCCTGATCCATTCATTTCCATTCATTACAGAGACTCATTCATGCATGGGAGAGAAACACCTCCCAGCAGCAGAGAGTCTGGAGACAGACAGAGGGGGAGGGGCATGAAGGGGGAGAGAGCCAGAGGGAGAGGGAATGAAGAGAGAGTTGGGGGAGGAGTGGAAGTTCAGGGGCGCTGCTGGCCTGGGGAAGGGGTTAAAAACTGCAAATACCAGATAGGATTCATCCCCATGTTTCAAACCTTGGAGCCTGCAGTTTGATGGGGCATCTCAGCCCCTTTGTCCAGGGCTGTTCCGAAGCAGGCTTTCCTCCTCTCTGCAGGGGAGAGGCTCCCTCACACAAGAGGAGGATTACACTGGCTCTGAGCTCAAGAGGCTGGAGTGAGGGACGGGGGGCGGGGCTGGGCCATCTGCACAGATAGGGGCTCAGCACATGCTCTGGGCAGGAAAGGGTTAAAATTCTCCAGGCTAAAATTCCCTGGGCCTGGGATATGCAGAGCTCCAGTTCTGAGGAAGGAGAAGAGCACTGAGAGGAAGAGGATGGGGGGGGGGGGGGGGTCGACTCTCCTGATGCTAAGCTGCAGAGGAGGTTAGCATTAGGACTTAGACGCAACCCCAGAATTAAGATTCATGGAAATAGGCCTAGGAGAATGACCAGAAGTCGTCCAGTCGACCTTCCTGCTTACATATAGAATTGTATCCATTCAAGGCTAGATGAACATGGGCCTAACCTATTTTTTTGCCTGAGATAGAAAGAATATTTGAGATGTAAAGAACTTCCTTACAATAGGCATTGTGAAACTGAAATGGGTTACTGAGAAAGTAAAGCATTACTTTGCTTACGGATCTTTAATAGAAGAGAATTGGGCCAGGAGTCAGCCCTGCTTATCAGCAAAGAGAAAAGGCTCTGGAGGTCCAAGCCTTCTTTAATGTTTGACATTTAGTGGATGTGATAAGACTCCATGAAGGAGCAGGTACCTGTTACATGTGGAATCTGGGTTATGGGAATTTTATTAACAGGAGGTTAATTAACAAAGTGTCCTTGTCCTAGGGTCACTAAACATCCTCCACCACCACTTTTAACATTTGTATTTCTGTAGCTCCAAATTAGGGCATCCACTCTCATCTTCTAGATCTCCAAATAAACCCCTTTGCTGGGCCCAAGAACCTAGCCAGGCTCTCTGAGTAGTGTCATGAAAGGTGAATTTGAGTAGGACTGAGAGGCGCAAGGCTACTGGGGCCCAGTCTGACCACTGATAGCCCTTCAACCTTCAGTAAATCACTTAACCTCCCAGTTTACTCATCTGTAAAATAAAGGGGTTGGACTAATTTATATTGATGGTGGCTTCCAGCTCAAAAGTTTTGTGGTTCTGAGTGAGAGGACTCTCTGGACCCCAGAGAAACGTGAAAACAAATGGTCATCCCTTCAGTACCATGGAGAGTGCAGTGGGCTACCAGAGGAGCCACTTTGGCCACCTCAGTACCATAGGCAGAGCTATGAAGTGCTAGAGGGGCCACGTTTGCCATTTTAGCACCACAGATAAGGCACTGAGAGAAGCTGGAGGATTTTTAAAAATTCCTATCTGGGAATCATAGAACAAAAAAAAAAAACAACAGTGGTACCACAGGGATTATTTTAGCCTTTTGGATGTCACTGAAAATAGATAGATGTAATAGAAAATAGATGTAACTAGAAGAATTTTAATTAGCTGTAAGGAGTGTCCTGACAGTTACAGTTTGTACATCCTGGAATGAGTTACTGAGGCACCGTATTTGGGTCCATCACATTCTGTTGCTCTCCTGGGGATTCCCGGAACATCCTGGTGTACAGCCAATCTGGTATATTCAGAGGAAGCAGATGGTGGGGGAGGAGGGGGGAGGCTGGGAATACTGCATGGTCATAGCTGACTAACCTATGGGCACATACTCTGATTCCGAGAAGATTCTAGGGCCCCTAAAACTGCCTGTAGGATAGGAAGCAAAATACCTCATGGGAGGCTGACCTCATTTCCAAGGCAAGTAGAGTAGGAATAGGGCAAATCTTTCTTCCCCAAAACAAAACAAAAATAAAAACGCTGTTTTGCACATAGCAGTTTCCAGGATGGAAATACAGTGCTATACAAGAAGGCCCAAATTGAAGCTGAATTCCCGAGCAGGGAAAGTTTCCCCTTTGATTTTGTTTTTTTGACTTGAGGGGGGCCTCAAATCAACAAAACCCACTGAGAGACCCTTCTAGGCCTAGTCAAGATTTCCTGAATCATCTCCACACCAAACCATGCCCGATCCCATGAGTTTTTCTCAATAGGAGAAAACACTGACAGGGCCCAAGATCTATGAACTGGCCTGGAACCCAGGTCATGCATGTATTGCCTATGGGCAATAATCACAGAGTTTTCTACAGTCAGGCCCTAAACACCATCCACGAGACTTAGCCAGACAGTAGCACTGACCTACTTTCCACCCCAACTGGGAATCGGGGGCTATATTGCCCTTATTTGAGTTCTGTAGGGATGCAGGGCCAGGGGTAGGGATCAGAAATCTTTCCAAAGCAACAGGCCAATTACATTTAGGTGCTAGGAGAGCAGGTGGAGAAGAGGGTGGACGATCAAACCTTACTGAATACAGAAGGATGGAAGGGTTGGTGAGCAGACTCTTGGACAAAACAACAGCGACTGGTACATAAATGCATCTGTTGACTGGAGGACCACAAAGATTGTCCCTCAAGCCTTGTGGTTCAAAAGTTTTTAGGGTCAAAGTGTACGGGGTAAGGGTTCAGGACTTCTGAGCTATAGTTGTGACTAGGTTTTGTCTCTGGCCATCTCTGATATTTGTTGCTTTTCCCTCTGTTGAGAATCCTACACCTCCCAAGTCCACTAACAATTATGATGAACACTGCACTAGATGGGGTTAAAAGGAAAAGGAGCTTCTTAGGTGGTCTGGGGTCAAGACCACCTTTATTGCTCAGACATGCCAGCAGTTCACTTTTATGCTCTCTTCTCCATGGCCCTCTGAACCGCACTGCTCAGGTGGCCCCTCCAAACTGACTCCTCACCATAGCTTGCCCACCTTTTAGACTGAGTTCTTGGTAAAGCCTCCTTCCCTCCGTCCTCAGTGTCCTGAGTTGGGGGCATGGACCTCAGTCATGGACTTCCAAATGTACAGGAGGTGATAGGAAGGTACACCTGCTCACCTACTGCCACCCCACCATGGTGAATCTTATCCCAGAGGCATGTCCCAACTTGACCCCTCTTCTGAAAGTTCTAGAAGACCTGGATTTGGGGGAGGAGGCATGTGGCCAGCCCTAAGTCCCCTAAACTGGAGCTGACCCTAGAAAGGTGAAAGTCTTAGCACCCATATGAACCTCAGTCCTCAGATTAGGGGGGTGGGGTGGGGGGTGGTCAGGACAGCCTCTAGGAAAATCTCCCTCCCAGAAGTAGGTTGGCCAAGTAGGGCAGGACCTGTGGTCCTGCACAAGAGGTTCTTCCCGCAGCACCCCAGACCCCTCCCGGGGAAAATAAGCCAGAAGGATGATGGGGGGCAGGGTTGGGAGATTGGGAGGCCAGGGCTCAGCTACCCGGGCCGGGAGAACAAAAGCTGAGTTGCAGCCGCCTCCGCTGCTGCCGCCGGCCGAGCTCTTTGTGACACTTTGTTTGGGACGCAGAGAGGGAAGCACCCCCCATCCTCTCCCCTCCCCCACCCTCGCTCCCGGAGAGTTTGGGTTCCTTCCCCCTCCTCCATCAGCCCTACCTGGGCCGGGGGGCGCTCACCCACTCGGGCTCCCAGCTCGGCCGCCCCGCACCCCCAGGCCCCTCGCGCCCTGCCTTCGGGCCCCTACAAAGACGCCCACCGCCCCCCCCCCCCCCAGCTGGCCTTTCCCCTTTGGTGTCCGCTTTCCCGGCTCCCCCACCTGGCCCCCCCCTCCCTCGAGGCCCCCCTAGCTCTCCAGGCTTCCCAGGCCGCCGCCCCCACCCCGCCCCCCCAGGAGCTCTGGGCGAAGTTTGCTTGGGGCCGAGCCGGCGCCCCTCCCCCGCCCCCGCCCCCTGCACCTGCTCCGAGCCGGGCGCGCGGAGCGGGCCCCCCCTCCGGGAGGGGGGGAGGGGGCCGGGGGCGGGGGCCGGGCGGCGGAGGGGGGGCCGGGAGTGGGGGGAGCGGCTACTCACGAGCCCCGGGCGGGCGGCGGCGGAGCGGGCGGCGGCGGCGGCGGCGGGCGGCGGGCCGGCGGCGCGGGCGTCAGCGTTACGTGGGGCCGGGGGAGATGCGCCGGGCCCCGGCCCCCCCGCCCCCGGCCCGGCCCCCGCCCCCTCCCCGGTCCCCCGCCCCCGGCCCTGGCCCGCATTGTGTGCGGCGGGAGGCGGCCCGGCCATTAGCATGCGGGGGGCGGCGCGGCGGGGCTGGGAGCCGCGCGGGAGCGGGAGCGGGGCTCTGGCTCCAGGGACAGGGAGCAGGGGACCCCGGGAGCCGCGAGAGGCGGCCGCCAGGGGCGGGGTGCGGGCAGTTTGGAGACGGGGGGCGCTGTCAGAGGGAAGGAGGGAGGGAGGGAGCGGGGGTGGGGCGCACAGACGATTCCAACAGGAGACTGGAAGAGATTTTGAAAGGTCATCTCGTCCTTCCCCCAGCCTCCAAGCAGGACTGCCCCTCCCACCCTAAACCCGGACATACCAGGGAAGGAGTTGGCTCTGCCGCTCTTTCTGCCCCAACATGCACAGACTCGGGAAGTTCTTCCTGGGGTTTTATCTCAAAGCCTCTCCCTTACAATTTCTGTCTCTCTTTTTGGGAGGAGGAGGGGCGATTATAGAGATAGTTAATGTCTGCCGTATAAGAAACATCATTAAAGTTACTCTTCGGTCCTTTCTGTTCTTGATAAACAACAATTCCTGCTCCTTCCTCTCGAATTCTATTTTCCATTCCTTAAGTCACTTTAACGGCTCTTCAATACAACAAATATTTACTGAGTGCTTACTAAGTACCAGGCACTATGCTCAGAGCTGTGGGGGATGAGCAGACGAGGGGGATGCAGTACCCTCCCTCGAGGAGATTGTAATCGAGACAGGGGCTACAAATTTGTGAGTAGTATATTCAGATTTAGTCAGTATTTACTGAATGCCTGTTCACATATTTAATAGTATATAATCCTTCCAATAACACTCTGAAACTAGTCTGCACTTACAGGTATGGAAAATGAGGCTAAAGAGTCTCTTTCCATTGGCCTACCAACTCGGAGATCCTCAGGGCAAGCCTAACATCTCACATTCTGTCAGGCCAGCACCACCAAATACAATTAAAGTACATGGGGATCGAAGAGGGAGTAGACACACAACAGTTCTCGGAGTCCCTTTAAATGTGATTCCCACTCACCAGGAAAGAAGATGGACACAATGCTCCGGTGAGTGTTGGCCCAGCACTGAGCAGGGCAGAAGTGGCTTACAAAGAAAGCTACTTGCCTTCCAGGCCCCTGCCTCCTGGTACTAACTCCCAGGGGTCTTCTGGCTCAGTCTTCTTCTGTCATCAATAATAATAATGATAATAGCCACTAACATTTATTGAGCACTTTGCCAGGTGCTGGGCTGAGCTGATTCATATGCATTTTCTCTTTTAATATGTACTCAAGGCAACCCCTTGAGACTGGTATTATTAACTTCCCTTTAGAGATAAGGAAACAGAGTGATTAAGTAACTTGCCCAAGGTCACCCAGGTAGATCTGGGGTTTTAACATAGTTCTGGTTGCCTCCAGGCCTCAGGCTCTACACCAAGATGGACCTTTCCTATTTTTGATCCTTAGAATATATATGTTCTTATTGTAGAAACAGATGTCCCCCGCTTAGCATCTGAATAAACCCTTTAGTATATGAGCATCAGGCACATCAGTATGACTTCATTAACACCACTAATTGTCATTAAGCACCCACCATGAGTCAACCCTTCACAGTCATATTATTAGCCCCCTTTTCATCACTCAGTTTGAACAATCTGAGGTTCAAATAGATAGAATAATGTATCCAAGGTCACACAGCTGGGAAAGTGGCAGAACTGCGATTCTGGTGCAGGTCTGCCTGGCTACAAGGCAACTTCTATCTCTCAAAAATATTAATTGTTGCAATAGTGTCCTTCCCAAGACTGGCCATTTGGGGACCATCTTCTATACATGTCTAGCTGAGGGTTATCACTGAGTCAAAAGCAATCCCCACTATAAATAGGGCTCCCCATCCACTAGTCAGCGTCCCATCCAAAGTAAGTCCTTCAAGAAAGGAAGACGAGAAGAGAATTGTCCAGAAAGTGAGAGAAGGAAGCCAAGGGAATTAAACCTTGCCTGGTCTTGGGACAAAGCTGCAAGTGGTAATGACAGTGGACCAATCCAGACAGTAATATGGGATTTCCCTAGGGAACAGCAAGTAATTTGAGGAGGACACCAAAAAAAGAAGAAAGATTAAATGGAAATGGGGGGACATTGGGGCCCAGGGTGGTAGTGTCCGTGGGGATGAGGTGAGTGATCAGAAGAGGGACCCATGATTGGCAGAGGTGGGGCAACAAGAAATGGGAACAGAGGGCTGGGCATCTTGTAGAGTGAACTGAGGCTGGTGTCTACCCACAGCCACTCCTTGGATCCTTAGGCCCTCATGGGGACCTTTGCCCCACCACACCCCAGACCTGACAGCGTGTCTCTGCCAGGACAAGTTTGTTGTCTGCTCTGAGCTACCAGGCCCTGCCAGGAGCTCCAGGCCCAGCTGTGTCCCATCCCTTTGGAGTAGCTGCTTCAGACTAGGTAGGTGTGAGGCCCTGAGCTTCAGCTGGATATTGGAAGTGGGCCCAGGAGCAGCAAAAAGAGATGTTGCTGCATGTCCTGTCTCCTGATAGGTGCCATAAGGCATTTTTCTTGGCCTAGGAAGCACTGAGCTCCAGTGGTTGAGGGAACCATGGAGGAGAGAGCTGGTCAGCAAGAAGAGGAGAGACGCAGCCTTCGTCTGGAAAAGCTACAGCACTGGGCGAAGCATAGGCAGAGTGGGCACCTCCTGGTGCTGGCGGTGAGGCCAGGCTGCCCCACCCCAAGCTTCAGCACTTCCACTTGTAGCCCAATTCAATTCCATTCATGTTTAGTGAGCACTTACCATGTGCCTGAAATTGTACTAGGCTCTGAGTGGGAGGAGGGTGGAGGAAGCATAAAATAAACAAGGCAAGACCCTTAATCTCCAAGTAGCTTCTATCACCTTGGGAAAACAAAGGTAAGTAAGGAAACTGTGACATGAGGCAGAAAAAATTAAATGATATCCTCTCCCTTCACTACCCTTAATTGATTACTTTCTGCCACCATGCATTGCTCCCAATTGCTGATCTCTGGAAGAGGAGAGGTTGAGAGGGGGGAAGGGAATCCCTGACAGTTCCCCCAAATGCCCTGCATCTGGCCTCCAGGTGAGCCAGCTATGGCTGGCAGTAGCTGTGGTGCCCTTTGCTGTCTCAGTTGCTTGCCTGAACTCTGCTTGTCACATGGCCACAGCACTGCCGCTTGGGCCTGGAGCATTGGTAAGACCCACCACAAGGGAGGGTGGAAGGTCCTGGGGGCCCCTCCCTAATGGGGCCAGAGCTCACACTTGCCTTTCTCACCATTCAGGGACTCCTCACTGGGACTGTTACCCTGGAGCTGCGCAGAGCACCCCGCTTCTGGAAGGTGAGAGGGGAAGAGAATGCATTACTATTCTCCCACTGCCCAAAATGCACACACACACACAACCCCCCCTCAGCCCAGGAAGCGGCTCTCTAAGTGTTGACTAATCCTGTCAGCTCTCTGGCCCTCGCTGGCCTAAAAGATTGAGGAGGGAAAGCAAGAAAGTTGGAGGGCTGATGGCCCTGTTTGGAGGTGGAGGATTAGGAGCTGACTTCTGTTTTCAGCTAGGCTGCAGGTGGGTCTTGGGGTGCCAATGAGTCCCCTAGGCTGGGCAAGGCTGAACTGGCTCACTGGCAGGTACGGGCCATGATGATATTCAACACCTGCAATCTGATCTTGGGCTTCATAGCAGTGGTGGTCGAAGTGATGAAGACAGCCTTGGGGTCTGCCTCAACTGCCCCCTCCCAGGTACTGGTGAATAAAGGAGAAGGTGGGAGGATGAGGAGGCAAGAGAAGATGGAGAAGGAAAAGGGAATGGGCAAACAGATACTGGGTCCCCTGGAGCATCCTCAGCCCTGTCTACCTACAGCTGGCCGGCTTGCTGGTGCTGGAGCTTAGTGCTGAGGCCTTCACCCTAGGAGGAGTGCTGGTCTCAGCATACTCCCTATTCCTGTTAAGCCAGAGGAAGCCAGGATGCTGCAGGAGCCAGAGTCGCCACTACCAGGAGCTACAGGAGGTATTGAGGGCTGGGAGGAAAGTATGGAGTGGCTATCTATCATTTTATTTTTTCACTGGCTATCCTGGTCAGCGGCACTTAAGGGAAAACAAGGGAGCAGGGGGGAAAGGAAGGAGTCCTAGACTGAAACTGATCGGTTTTCTGGCTTTGGACATTTCTCTCCTAGTTGTGGCTAAGAAGGAACTGGGTAGCTAAATGGTTGGGGCTAGAAAGGTGGGAGAGCATTGGGAAGCTGCCTAAATATTGGAAGGGCTGTGGGAACACGAGAAAAAATGGGAGAGGAGGAGGAAGTTGCTTCTAACTGGGATTCCTCCTTTCTCATCCCTACAGTTTGCTCCCCTCACACCTCTGTCTGGTTTTTAGGGTCTCTCTGAGTTGGAGGAAGTTCCTGATTTGGAGAATGGTCCCAGGGTGGCCAGCACAGCAAACGGAACAAATGAGTGACCTGGCAAGAGGAAGCAGACAGGTGCTGCTCTCCTACCCTGCGGGAACGTTCTCCAAACCCTCCTGCACCTCACCACACCGAACTCAGAAGCTAGAGGGGGTCCCTTGAGACCTACATGAAGTCCGGTGGAGTGCCTTCGATTTTCACTCAGACTAGGCCCCTTTCTAGACTTTAGACCGGAGTCTTCCCTCACCTCACCACCCTGCAAAGCTGCCTTCTTGCAGGGTATCCTTAAACCAACTTTCAGCTATACCCACTTCTTCCCTTCCATCCTTACACTCCTTCCTCACCGCTTCCCCATACAACTTCACATCTGCCTCATCTCACTATTTCTCTTCCTTCCATCCTTCACAATCCCATTCACTCCAAGCCTGGTTCTCCTACACACCTACTCTCTGAAATTAATTCATGGGTGCTTTAGTTCTCTCCCTTCCATTCAGTTGCTTTCTACTCTAAAGGAGACTACAAGTCCCAGGATGCCCCGCTGCCCCGTGGCCTGCTGGGAAATAAAGAGCCTTCCCTCCGCGGTGGGGGCGCTGTGCATCTGCTGAGTGACGCGAGGCGCTGGAAGTCGGGGCCTAGCCGAGAGTTTCCTCGGACGCGACCACTGGCCCCGCGTGCAGGGAGGAGCGGGGCGGGTTATTCTGCGTAGGGGCGCCGCCATCCCAACCACGGCAACTGAGACCTGACTGTGGATCAACACCTTTCCCTCTGGCAGCTTCGGAAACGGGCAGGGGCTGGGGGCTGGCCCTTGGCAGAGCTGGGGTTTCCCAGATGCTGTTGACGCGCCCCCTCGCACAGTGCCCAGGTCCAAAGTCCTGAGACTTGGAGCGCGCGCGAGAAAGGGGTTGGCGATGATGAGTCAGAAACCCAGGGCCGTTCTCGTCCCCCTCCCCCGAGGCCTGGGCGCCTGAGGAAGACAGGCTCGTTGGGCAGACGAGTGGACCGGGCAGGAAGAGGGAGGGACGCGGCGGCCCGACCCAAGACTTTCCCGCCTCTTGCGAGCACGCGGGTGTAACAAGCCCGCCTTGCCGCCACCCTTTCTCTCCAAGGCGGGAGCGGGACTGCGCAGGCTCGGCCTCTCGGCAGCCCGCCGACCTTTGATCCCCGCTGCCGTCAGGTTGCTGAAGTCTGGTTGCGCTCAACCCCCACCGCTTATGACCTTTGCAAGTGTGCAAAGATGACAAGCTCAGGTGGGCTGGAGAAAAGCCCAGGAAAACTAGGAGACCCAGTAGCACCAGCCGGGCAACTTACTAGCCGCTGGAGAAACTAGAAATTGACCCAGCTGGAATACTAAGAGAACTCACCCCAAATTCACATAGTGCCCAGGACGGGTGTGCGACTCACACTCATTTTTGTTGCCACTTGAGAAGGCTTCTTTCCCTAGAGAATGCTGCTTCTCCGGGCTTACCCAAGCCCAAGCACCAGTGAGGAAAGAGCGCAGCCTGGCTGCCTTGCCCTGACATTGCAGTGGGGCCAGCGGCAGCTTCTTTCTGTTTGTGACACCTTGGGAGTGGTAATAGTCGCCCTATGACAAGGTTGTGTGAGAACTAGTGGGTGGGGACAGTTCTAGGATTAGGCTCTGGAATGGAGAAAACAAGATCTGGGCCTCCCCTGTCCCCTCCTCCTTCCAATCTAACCGCCCGCGTAATGGAGAGCTCAAGTGTGAAGGACTCAGAATAATTTTCCTCAAAGTCAGAAGGTGGTGGTAGATGAGGAAGCTGGGGGCAAAAAATCAACAATTTGCTCTCACTGACTTCCAGATAAGAGCAACAGCTTTTAGCGATATGATCAGAAGTCTAGGAGTTGCATCTAGTTCTTAGAGAAGTCAGTGACCATGCAAGTGAACCTTGTGTCAGACAGGTTCAGCTAGGCTATGTTATGTAACAGTGCCCAAATCTCAACGGCTTAAAATCACAAAAGCTTCTCTCTCACACTGCATGTCTACGATAGTCTGGCAGAGGGCTCTCATCATAAGTTATTCAGGAATCCAAGCCATGGAGCTCCACCATTTGAGATCCTACCGTGTCACCATGAGGATTAGAGCGCCCCCGTCCCATCCCCTGTGAAGTAAGAACGAAGAATTGTTCCCGCTGGCCTGGTAGCATAGCCGTTAAGTTTGCGCGCTCCACTTGGGTAGCTGGGCTTGGCCGGTTCGGATCCTGGGTGCGGTCCTATGCACCACTTATCAAGCAATGCTGTGGCAGGCATCTCACATATAAAACAGAAAAAGATGGGCACAGATGTTAGCTCAGGGCTACTCTACCTCAAAAAGAAAAAATGACAAGAATCGTTCATGGGCTTTTTAATGCTTTTGTCTGGAAAGGACACGTATCACTTCTATTTACATTTCATTAGCCAAAGTCAGTCATATAGCCACACCCAACTTCAAGAGGGCTAGAGGAGCAATCTTTTCATATGCCAGGAAGGAGAAGGAAAGCAGAAATACTTCATTAAAAGAAGAAGAGTTCATCATTTGCAGTGATTCTCAAACAGGTTAGCAGTTGGAACTCATCCATTCCAGCAGTTATGCCCATATCTACTTTTTGGTTTTATTCCATGAACCAATAAGTGACGTTCTTAGTAGAAATTTTCCCCCCAAAAATAATAGGACTGGGAGTCAAGAAAAGTAGATCCTGGTTTTGTTATGTAAGTTTGGGCAATTTGATCCTCTCTGAACTACATTTTGCTTACGTGGAGATTATAATCATAGTATTTATCCTCTCTACTTTATTGGAGTATCAAAGCTAAAATAAAATCACACATTTTATTTGGAAAGGAAAAATACTTTAAAACTATAAAGCACTTCAGAGGTTGAAAATAAATTGCCTGTGGGGACAAGGAGTAGTGTAAATGAGTAAAGCAGATTGGGTATGTATGAGGTAATAGAGAGTGGTGGGGACTGTGGCAAACCAGAGAGCACACATTCTATTTAAAGACTTTACCCCCACTCAACTCATCCAATTATTGCCATGTGGGACTGTGAGGCTGGTATTGCCATAGTTTCAATTTTCCTATAATAGTCAGAAATTCTGACTTTTTTAATGTGAAATCTTCTGATTTTAAAATGTTAATAATTAACCTTTTAAAAATTGAGAACCAGATTTAGCCTATAGTCCTTCAATTGCAATCTCTCCATTATATAAACATATGGTAGGAATTTGGGTTTTGGATGTGCAACATGGTTCTTATAGGCCTTTGAGACCTCTTCTGAAATTCAAGAGTCTTGGAGAGGTTTAACATATTACATTCTTAAAAACTTTTTTATCATATCCCTCCACGGCATTGATTCTCAGGGAGAGGGCCTCTTGCCCCCCAGGGATTATTTGGCACTGTCTAGAGACATTTTTGGTAGTAACAAATGGGGGTGGGGGCAGATGTAACTGAAGGAACCTTAGATAAGCAGTCAGAAGTTGGGAGATTTAGTCCCAATGCTGCTAATGCCCCTTTCCTGTGCATTATCCTCTCCCAGCTGCAAGTGAAAACTGTCTGAGGCTTGTGATGTGATCCTCGTTATTCCTGCCTCCACACTGCCTATTGCCACAGTCCCTGGCTACTCCACGAAAGCATTCTGCTTTGCTGCAATGCTTCCCACCAACCACTGTATCTGCCTCCTTCTTCATCAGTTTGGCAGCCTCTGTGGGAGTCACTCCTATTTTACTTTAATTGCTGCCCATTGGAACTTCACAGAAAAAAGTGACTGGACAAGGTTCCTCCTGACGTCAGTTTTTAACGGCCTTGACGCTTATCCCCTGCTTGAAGCACTGGAGAAATATCCGCTTTATATATGGCTTCATATGCAGCTGAATTCTGTGGTGGCTGGGACATGTTCATGACTTTTACCCGCACTTCTTTGAAATTCAGTCGTTTATTCTGACCTTAAATACATAATTATAGGAAATGTATTTCCCAAAAGAAATATCTGCTTTGCAGATGAATCGGGTTTTGTGTCCTGGGCTGTGTTCTCTGCTGCCATCTCGTGGCCTCTCGGCTGCCCGAGCAGGTCTCACAAAGAGCCTTCCCGCGAGGTAATGGCGTGTGGCAGTGGCCAGGTTGGAGAAGGAATCTCCTCCACACGCTGCAGGGCGCTCCTCGAATCGCTCCCCTGCAGTGAGTCCACCAGGGCAGCAGCATGCGCAGCCTGGCACGGAACCTGGACCTCTCAAGGAGGCGGGAGGCGCGGGGTCCTTCCGGGTCATCCTCACCCCGTTGGGCCTCTATGTCTGTTATGCAATCCTGGTCGTGAGCCACAGAAATCAGTAAACTAACCACCCAGGAGTAATCGGAGCTGACCTCGCCTGCTTGGCCTGATGAATGCTCCGCAGCCTCTCACCACACACCACCTGGGGCTAGGATGTTCTTAATCTCAGTGAGAAGAGCAGATTCCCTCATTGGGTTCCTGGATTTCGTTTTCTTGTCTAGGACCATTTCGTGTTGCTCTGTGTCCGTGCCCTTCATCTTGGCTTGC